AGACAGTCATATCACAAGATAGAATCAGGGGATTTCTGTACAATCCCTGATGGTAGACAGTCATATCACAAGATAGAATCAGGGGATTTCTGTACAATCCCTGATGGTAGACAGTCATATCACAAGACTGAATCAGGGATTTCTGTATGATCCCTGATGGAAGACAGTCGTATCACAAGATAGAATCAGGGGATTTCTGTATGATCCCTGATGGAAGACAGTCGTATCACAAGACTGAATCAGGGATTTCTGTATGATCCCTGATGGTAGACAGTCATATCACAAGATAAAATCAGGGATTTCTGTATGATCCCTGATGGAAGACAGTCGTATCACAAGGCTGAATCAGGGGATTTCTGTATGATCCCTGATGGAAGACAATGACGTGTCATTAGACAAACTGAGGCAATCTGTTCCTTTCACTAAGAAAATATGATCATCTGCTAACCTGTCAATTCTTCTGATATTTTTACTTTCTGGCATCAGCATATCAGTTTCCTTATTTCCAAATACAGGATCCTATTTGTAAACTTCAACATGGCAGATTGTGCAATCATGGTTTTTCAGAACAAAGCCTACTTTAAACCTTTTCTCAGTTCCATCAGTTGGATTAAGCTCAGACTTGGTTGAAATGATTGTGATATGGACTTAACCAAGTGTGGATGTTTTTCAGGTCTTTCAGAAATCAAGTATGACTGAAATGGCTGCCATCTTTGAAAAAAAACATTTCAAACCTCTTCTTAAGTTTCACTGCTGCCTTTGAGCTGAAAATTGTTGGAATTCTTAAGGAAAGGAAGCCGAAAAAGTGTTGTCATTTTTCATTCTCATCAAAAACTATCATCGAGGCAACAGCCAGTTAATTTTTCCTAACATGATTGTGCAGTTGAGATTTTCCTTAACAATAGCTATTTTAGATTTCTGAAGTTCCAACAGTGAGAGTCCATCTTGTATGAAATGATCCTGAGATGGTCCTTACCGTCTGCTGTTGTTTTTCGTGTCTTTGCGAAATCAAATATGACTGCTATGACCGCCATCTTAAAAAAACACATTCATCTCCAGTTCAGCTGGTGCCATGGAGCTCATTTTGGAGCAGTAATACTTTACAATCAGATGAAAGGCCTCTTGTTAGATTTGAATCAGGATAGCATTAAATATATAGGAGGAATAGTGCTGCATCAGGGGTTAACTTGTCCTGCAGTCCAAACCTTATGTCATCCTATCAATAAAACACAACCATTTGTCCTTTTCATCTGGTGACTTCCTTCCCAGGTTCTAGAAATTAATTCCATATTTTGGAAATGATATGAGGGTTCAAATAGAAAATTTAATCTGTTTCTGACTGAAACTTTTCGTCTGTAGTTTAAGGGATCAAATAATGTCTGCGTTTTGATAAATGACCTAGGAAAAGAAATTTCCCTGACGATTTGATACGTTGTGTCAAGTACTTACTGAAATAGATTTTAAAGTTTGAAAGGTAGAAATCATTTTCCCGAGGGAGTAATATTGATGTTGTTGAAACAGGAACAGATATTTCCACAGACGAGCTAAGTTGAAAATGTTATAGACATGATATAAACATGTCTGATAAAATGAAAACTGGCAATTTTTTCCGGTATGAATAGTTTTATAAAAATCTCTGTCAGTGTTGTTATGTAGAACCTGGATTTCATACAACATTTTGAAATCTTGACAAAATCCACTCATTGTGCACCTGTGTTGGATTTATAGTTAGCTACATGTATGTAAAGTCACTATCCATCCTTAAACAACTCTTGTTTTAACTACTTCTTCAAAAGTACAAAGGAAACTATCTCATATTCAGGTTCCCTGTAGTCTCCAATGGTACCAGCTCAATTTTAAGTGTGATTACGGAAGAAAATGCCTGCATTACAAGCAACAGTCTTGGATCTTGAATAATATAGTTTGTTTATTCCTTAAATTTATTGATTGTAAAGGTCATCTGACCCACAGTATCAGGATTACATACAATCATCGTGTCTGGTTTGTCCTTTTGTACTGTCCACGGGGCATTAACATCAAATTTCTTGTCAAGATCCACCAGTAGGATTCAGATCAAACTTGCATATAATGATTCTGATCATGACATGGTCCAGACCTAGTATCATCATTTTTCAGGACAGTCCATGATCTAATATGACAGCCATATCTAAAATAAATGCATTTTTAATTTCTCTTCCATTTCCAGTGGTGCCATTTTACTGAAATTTTGGGAAAATGTTGATATGCTGAAATAAACAGTGTTGTTGTTTTTGCTACCTTTTCATGCTAATGGAGACTGATTATATGTTGTCCACTTTGCCAGGAGAGATTGACAAAGTCCATTTTTGCTATCATCCTTTTCTTAAATCTTTGATGAAATTTTATTCACTTTGTCAGCAGAGATTGACAAAGTACATTTTCGCTAGCATCCTTTTCTTAAGTCTTTGCTTCTGAATACAGCCTTGTGTACAACCCATTTTCGGTATTTCTTTGCCAAGATTCAAACATGTTACTTGAAACAAGAGCCGACCACAAGCACCAATTTGAAGTGACGAGAATATTGAAACGATATTAACAAAGACTAAATCATTCAGATCCAAAAACAGCAGAGGAAGCGCAAGTTTGAAGGTGTCGTATTTGAAGAAAAAAGGAAAAGTGAAACATCATATAATGATGTGTGGACATAAGGGATAATGTAATGACAATGGTGGCTGGTGTGTTTACATTTAGGAAAATGCAATTGTCTGACCTGGGTCTGTACCAAGAACTCCAAAACTCCAATTTTATGCAACGACAGCAAAAGAGGCTATGTTTAGAAGTGGCAGTTTTTATGAAAGGTGTGAAAGAAAGGATTTAGGAATAATTTGTTATATCCCAGAAGGGATGGCTGACCATATCATTTCGCCGAGTGGTCTAGGTTAGGCCTATAATTGGGGGATATATTAATAACCTGTCTGCTGGCTGTCCTGTGACTATGAGAATCACCAAGAAAGATGTACTTATCACCCAGACAGTGAGCGTTGCTGTGTGCCAAATTCATATAAAAGAGAAATAGAATTTGGAATATTAATGCCAACTTGATTAAGTAGTATTGATTTAATTTGTCTTAAGCTTCCCTTGTCATAAGTATATGTTAAGCTTCTCTTGTCATAAGTATATCTTGAGCTTTCCTTGTCATAAGTATATCTTAAGCTTCTCTTGTCATAAGTATATCTTGAGCTTTCCTTGTCATAAGTATATCTTAAGCTTCCCTTGTCATAAGTATATCTTAAGCTTCCTTGTCATAGCTTTATCTTAATCTTCCCTTGTCATAAGTATATCTTAAGCTTCCTTGTCATAAGTATATCTTAAGCTTCACTTGTCATAAGTATATCTTAATCTTCACTTGTCATAAGTATATCTTAATCTTCCCTTGTCATAAGTATATCTTAAGCTTCCTTGTCATAAGTATATCTTAAGCTTCCTTGTCATAAGTATATCTTAATCTTCCCTTGTCATAAGTATATCTTAAGCTTCCTTGTCATAAGTATATCTTAAGCTTCCTTGTCATATATCTTAAGTGTCCTTGTTATAAATATATCTTAAGCTTCCTTGTCATAAGTATATCTTAAGCTTCCTTGTCATATATCTTAAGTGTCCTTGTTATAAATATATCTTAAGCTTCCTTGTCATAAGTATATCTTAATCTTCCCTTGTCATATCTTAAGCTTCCTTGTCATAAGTATATCTTAATCTTCCCTTGTCATATATCTTCAGCTTCCCTTGTCATATATCTTAAGCTTCCTTGTCATAAGTATATACAGTGATATATGTACTGTAAGTCTCCTATACAAAAATATTTTTTCAAGAGATCCTTTATACATATTCACTTTTTCAGTGGATTTTTCATGTTTCATTTCTTGCTCTCTTCTAATAGCAGACTTTTCTGAGTAAAATCCAAAACTGAGATTTCCTGTAATTTTAGTCACCCCAGTCATGTGATTTTTTCATTTGTAAATCCTAGACATTTCTTGTTTGGATAGTTTGAGAAGAAAAGAATTTCAAATGTGAATACATTCATAAATGATCTAACGTGTGAAATAAAGATGGAAGATATTATCACTTATTATACTTAAGTTTCCTTCATTTTACAATTCCGCAAATAATCCAGCTGCTTAAGAAAAGAGACTTGCTCAGAATTTTTGATATTGTTCCTGTACAGTACATCCAGATAAGAATGCATTGAAAGCTGCATATCAAGCTTCCAATGCTTATGAATCAGTTTAAGATTGTTCCGTAAAATTCACTTTTTTTGAAAAGTTATACATGTATAAGTACAATTATATTCATGAAATAAAGAAGTTGTATTGATTGAACACATGCTTACCAAAGACACAAGTAGTTAAAGGGCTTGCCAAAATTTCCGAAAGTCTCTTGTAATAAAATGTATTTTATGACACACAATTTAGATTTTATGTGTCTGACGATCATTTTCCATAAATTAGAACTCCACCATGATGATTTAAAAGGTCAAAACTTATTTTCTACATCAAAATTTGACACATTACTGGTTTGAATTGTAATGAAAATGGTATATCATCAACCATTTTTACATGGAGATGAATATTTACATGCTCTTAAGAGAATGTGGAAGATGATTTAACTTGAAGTAACGCTGAAGTATTTTCTACAAAAATAAAAATCTTCCGTCAAAATTGAATGCAAATCAAGTCTTGAAAATTGAAATTTAATTTTCATAAATTAACCTAGAACACAATGATAAAAAGACATTACATAGAGAGACTTCTGGCAGATGTTTTATAGTTCTGATCATTATAGGAAGCATGAAAATTAATGTGGCGAGATTTAATTTCTAGGCAACGCAAATTTACAGAGGTCTTTGATAATACATCTGAAAGGATGCACTTTATTGCTTTAAAGACAGGTTATTCATTAGAATATTTTCCAACTTTTATAATTCACATCCATTATGTAACAAGTAAATTTTCATTTTATTACAGATCGGATATGGTTCCAGTTCCCCTGCCTTGTCAAACAGAGAACGTTTCCCTACTTTTTTCCGAACACATCCGTCAGCAACTCTCCATAACCCTACTCGAGTCAAACTATTTAAAAGGTTTGGATGGACACAAATTGCCACTATACAGGAAACACAGGAAGTCTTCACATCGGTAAGAAAAAATTTTAAAGTATAAATATGACCTTTTATTAAAAACTGGTCTTTATGCAGATGGGCTCATTTATACTCGAACAGCTGTCAATTACTTGACAGTACATCAAAGATTATATTCTTATCAAGCACTTAACAGACGTAAGGATAACAAAACATCTATTGGAGTTAACACAACTGGGATAACAAGCAGAAAATCAGCCATGATTTTTATGTGATTTTGATTTAGTTTTTTTGCCAGCCCCTCAGTTAACATTTTACTTGAATAGAATAAAAAAAAAAACTAAAATTTCCTGATATCCTTTAAGTACATCTTATTTAGATGCTGTGTTTTGCATGAAGTCTTATAGAGTTTGATGGCAAAAACTGTAATCACAGAACTTCACAGCATGTTTAGGCATTAGTGTTTCACCATAGAAAATTTGTACGAAATCAGGGGTGGTCATCAAATGGTCAACATGTGGATGTGTCATAGTGTGTAGTGAACAGTGCTAGACATTGAAGGCCCCAGAATCACCATGACTTTTCCTCTCTTCAGAAAGCTGAATTTTTTCCTAGTGATGCTCAGGATATAGATCATGCCTCACTGAACAGGCTTCTTGATACGATATAGAAATGTATTCTCGGCATTCTTGGTGATATTTACAGAAGGAGCAAATCTATCACTAAGACTTCAATCATAAGGTCATTCAGTAAACAAACTATGAATGTCATGACATTCACGTCTATCATATGACTATGGAGTATCAGTAATATGATAATATTGTATGTCTTCTTCCTCAAAGAAGCATGTTGATCCGATTGGTAGACCTTCATATAAGTGGAATCATGTTTAAGGATTTATATACAACAGTGATAACACATTATAAGAATTCAAGGCATCTTGCACAATATCGCAGGATCTGTGTGGCCAATTGCACTCAAACTTTATCAATGTTTCTTGAAAGGGAGTGCTTATGAGAGTGTGATTTTCAGGGCCTGAGGTCAAAGGTTAAAATCACTGTTACTATCTATCTATAGAAATAAAGTTTCTAGGTCACCTGAGACTTTGTCTCGTGGTGACCTATTTTAATACCCTTCATCCGACATTGTCTGTCTGTAAACAATTTAACACTTCTGACTTCTTTAATAAAAAATACTTTGATCAGCACTTCATTGTCCAAACACTAAATCTGACAAAGTACCCAATCACAGTCCTTTACTTACTAAGCTCATTGGATGATTAAATTGGTAATTAACAGTAAGTGACCAAGTGTTGTACGTAAGATGGACCAATACACAGTAATTAGCCATATGTTACACACAGGTGATTTTCTACTCTGTATGTGCTGATGTTTTGCCAAAAAATTAAATTCTAGACAACAAATGACTTTTCCCTTGCTTTACAATTGAAGGGACTGAAAAATCGCTTCAAACTCAACGGAAATTTCGACTCAATAAAATTTGAGTCATCTGAATTAAAAATACAAAGATATAGAAAGGAAAACATTTGGACTTAAAAATTATTTTGACTCAAGTGGACTTTCGACTCAAGCAATTTTGAGACAACAAGTTTCAACTGTATTACCCAGGTTAAAAGTTTAGCACAATGTGGCACCCTTCTTGATGTTTGTCATGACCCCAGCTGAAGAAACCATCAGTATTACTTTTAACTTGTCTAATGGGCTCCATGTAATCTTCAATACATTTTTAGAGGCACCATCGTATTCATAACATCTATAATGTTAATTAATTTTTTTCATCGGTCATATCCAATTAGGTATGTTGTATTTAAAATCACCAGTTTTGTACCTTTTTATATTTTCTTATTTTTATAAAGCTGTTCCCTGGTCCTGTTTCTCCATTTAACATTTCTTTATGGAACCTATATCTTACGTCATCATACATTGAACTTCATTCTTCGCACACAGACAGTAGAAGACCTCGAAGAAAGAGTAAAGCAAGCCAACATAGCAGTATCAGTGAGACAAAACTTCCTAACCGATCCAGCAAACGCAGTTCGCAATCTGAAGGTTGGTATTTCCTATTAAAAACCTTTAAACCTCAAAGGGATTTTAATGATCAGGTGTAGAACAATGTTTGACTTAACTGTAAACAATCTAGGAAGAAAGTAAAGTGGAGTTGACATCATTTGAAATTTGGCAGCAGATTGAGTCAAAAAGCATTTTGAAAGTCGCGTATGTTTCCAGTGAAGCATATCACATGCCGGTGTAAAAATAAAAGTGATATTGTGATTGTTACATACATGACAAGAAGAAATTTACATTGTATCTTGGCAGTGCTTAGTTATTGCCATACAGCAGTCCTGTATATATAGTTGGGCATTGCTTGTCTGCCATTCAGTCAACAGAGGAAGTTGTAGTTTCTTTTATCATAGTCTCTTTATATACAAAGATAATTGAAGGAATTTTTATCAGTAAAACCTCATGCCTGGCAGTATTCTTATCCATATATATGGCTGTTCAGTAAAAATTGTAAATGAGTGTTATTTTCTTTCTCTGTAATAAGCCCTACCCCTGACTTTGAGTTAGAAGTAATATATATGCAGTTATTGGCTCTGGTATAGCTGGAGGGAGTAATACAAGTGTACTCCATCTGTCAGGCCGCCCTCATCTGGAAAAAATATGTAATATGGTCTCTCACCTGCAGTTGACATGTTTTACATGTTCGTTCCTCATGGGATAGAAGTGTAATGAGTTTATGATGTGTGCAATATCGAGGAAAAGCTCATATGCAGACTCACCCGTAGTTGTCAATTACTTCACATGCGTGTACCTGTTAGGATTGTGAGGGATTGCGCACTGAAATCAGGTCTCTCACCTTGTCAAATAGATTGTGTTAAACAAAAATTGTATAGAGGAGAAATTTCTTGGGTTTTTTTGCAAATAAATTATTGATATATGAGCTTGGACACACCTTGTTATGATTGGGTGTTTTTTACCATTTAGGTGTAATAATTGTTCATCCACTTTTGGGTAAGTTTATCCAGAAAGAAACCTGGTATCAGACTTGGTTGAACATCCACTGTGCAGCGTAAGGATTAATCAAAACCTAATTTTCTGGTCTTCATGCAAAGTCAATGTATCAGTTCCTGCTGACTTGAAAAATTAACTACTGTTTTTATTCATCAAGAAAACTACAAAATGGAAAATTGGGACAAATTTTCTAAAAAAAAGTTTTTAATCTCTTTTCTGATGCAATAAATACAGAAGAAGGGAACAAGTGGACGGTAATTACTACAGTGTGTGAAAAATATAGCCATGCAGTTAATCTTAATAAAAAAAAATTTGTGAAACTCAGATTGGCATCAAAATTTGGATGTATTTCTGTGCTCAACAGCTACTACATTGCCTTACTAAATCAGTGTTTTCCTCTAACACCATAAAAGGGAATTAGACTTTGATATATTAATAAAGAGAACATTTTTCAAATGCTACTCAATTATATCATTTTCTTTAGTGTGCATGTCTATGGTACTCGTCAGCCAAGCAAAATGAGTTTAATGAAGAAAGAAATAGAGATTTTGTTCCCTTGCCGTGGAACAAATCAAGTGTGATTGATTTGTTGAGTGTCGACAGCCTATTATCTGTTGACTAGTGTATGGGAAGGTCAAACCTTTAAATTGAAAGACTATTTAATTCTCCGATGCAAGGTTCGTTTATTGTGTTTGTATCAAGGTTAAACAATTGACAGAGTCTATTACAAACAGACATAAACCTGAATCCATTTGGGAATGAATTCAAACTTTATTTTTATATCCCATAACAGATTATATGATTCGCGTATAAGATCAATTGACTGTAGTAGCTATTTAACAGTATTTCATTAAGGATGGTTTTTAAAGACTTTCCAAACCACAGATAGAAATGCTTATGAAAGTGGTGTTTAGTTTCAAAGACTTGTTGTTACTACTTCCTGTGAAATGATTGCGTATAGAATTGCATTATGGTTTTAAAGATGTCATATTGTTGAGGAATTTGTGTGAATTCAATGGCATCTGTTACAGGAATCAAAGAAACTGATAGTCAAACCACTGACTTCAAACTGTGAAAGAAAACTTTTTTTTCTTGGACATCTTAATGTCGCAGAAATGTAGGATTGGATATTACTTACAGACTTTAAAAATGTTGACATTATTGCAGATTACTTCTGATTTCTAATATCCAAAACAACATATTGATAACAGTTATGCATGCTGACAAAATCAATTTAATGTTATAGAGTTTCGACACATAGGAAAGCGTCTTGCAATTTGTGTGGTCCCAGGTCAATGGTGTGGAATGGCATTGGAAATAAATGGTGATAGGGCTTGATGTCTCTTAGTAAACATGTTGTGCATGCCGCCTGGGACTAGGGGCTTAACAGTCAGGGATTGTCAGGAATAATCAGGATGGTTGTGCAATGTGGCAGGCTGTCATCGTCTGTTATTTTCTTCTCCTTATGGTTTATAGAATACCGCTATCGTATTTGTGCTAACTTGATAATGTGGATTTACAAGGTTGTTGATAATATGACATATTGTTGCATGGTGTTGTCTATCTTGATGGTAAGGTTGTTGAAACGTCTTCTTCTTCTTAACCTTATTGATGCCGTCCATCTTAATGTTCTGTCAACTTTTTGTGGCAAGAAGTCAAAGCGTCCAAGAATTTCTTGTCTGAATTTGATGATTTTTATGATAACGAACAAAGATATTGTTCTGAACCATCAGATCACTGTTTTCACTTCCCAACTGGTTCTGTCAAAGGGAGCCATCAGTCCACTGTTTTCACTTCCCCACTTGTTCTGTCATAGGGAGCCATCAGTCCACTGTTTTCACTTCCCCACTGGTTCTGTCATAGGGACCTATCAGTCCACTGTTTTCACTTCCCCACTTGTTCTGTCATAGGGAACTATCAGTCCACTGTTTTCACTTCCCCACTGGTTCTGTCATAGGGACCTATCAGTCCACTGTTTTCACTTCCCCACTTGTTCTGTCATAGGGACCTATCAGTCCACTGTTTTCACTTCCCCACTGGTTCTGTCATAGGGAACTATCTGTTCACTGTTTTCACTTCCCCACTGGTTCTGTCTTAGGGACCTATCAGTTCACTGTTTTCACTTCCCCACTGGTTCTGTCTTAGGGACCTATCAGTTCACTGTTTTCACTTCCCCGCTGGTTCTGTCTTAGGGGCCTATCAGTTCACTGTTTTCACTTCCCCACTGGTTCTGTCATAGGGACCTATCTGTTTTCTGTTATCCATCATCTATAACTCTTAATGCTATAACAGTGAATTACTGTGAATTAAAGGTGATTATTACACTATGCGCCAGCGACAAATAGGATACTTAATTGTTTGCTGTCTGATGGGTGAATTCCTTGAGGAACTGTTGATCTGATGTTAAAGGGATTATATGTATTTTTTTATGTAAGAAAGAAGGATAGAAGTTTTTAAGGCGGAATAATTTGTCAGTTGTTGATCCCGAGAGATAAGTAAAATCCTTCTTTGTTCCAGGGAGATGGGCAGCAAATTCTGTGTATACACATTTGGTCTATCAGTAAATGAACTTGGGATCATGATAACAAGTGCTTCCTTGGGAGGTCTTTCTAGAGATGGTATTCTTAATTATTCACCCTACTGCTTTTTTAACACACTGACAAATCAGATGCTGTGACTAGCTCAGATCTATATTGTTCTAATACATGATTCAATAGACAAGGTTAGATACCATTGTATGGACAAAATGAAGAAGTATAGATTCAAGTTGCATAACCGGAATGCTTTCAAATTTTCTGCAAACTGAAAAATATGTCAAAATACGGTAGATAAATGTAAATAACAGTTTATAATATGACACTAAAAGAAAAGGACCACTTCAGTCACTAAACAACAGCAGGGATTACCTACACAGAAACCAAGGCAAAACAAAACAGAAACTAGAAATTTAAAATAGAAATTTGTATCCGGTGTCAAGAAAACTTGAATACAGCAATATGAAAAAGGGACACACCAAAGCAGAAGAGAAAGTAACAGCAAGAACTAGCAGAACACAAATAAAACAGATCAAAGGGCAACATCTAATAATAGGGGCACACCAAAGCAGAAGAGAAGATCACAGCAAGAACTAGGGGCACACCAAAAATAAAATAGGTCAAAGGGCAACAACCAAAACTAGGGGCACACCAAAGCAGAAGAGAAGATCACAGGAAGAACTGGGGGCACACCAAAGCAGAAGAGAAGGCAACAGCAAGAACTAGGGGAACACCAAAAATAAAATAGGTCAAAGGGCAACAACCAAAACTAGGGGCACACCAAAGCAGAAGAGAAGGCAACAGCAAGAACTAGGGGCATACCAAAAAAAAAATAGATCAGAGGGCAACAGCCAAAACTAGGGGCACACGAAAGCAGAAGAGAAGATCACTGCAAGAACTGGGGGCACACAAAAGCAGAAGAGAAGGTAATAACAAGAACTAGGGGCACACGAAAGCAGAAGAGAAGATCACTGCAAGAACTAGGGGCACACGAAAGCAGAAGAGAAGGTAATAGCAAGAACTAGGGTTACACCAAAAACAAAATAGATCAGAGGGCAACAGCCAATACTAGGGGCACACCAAAGCAGAAGAAAAGGCAACAGCATAAGATTTAGGCTACCAAAACAAAAAGAAAGGCCAACAACAGGATCAAGGGACACACCAGAACAAAAGAGCTAGGGGCACATCAAAAAAAAAAATTAGATCAAAAAGTAACAACGAAAACAAGGGGCAAACTAAAAAAAGGAAAAAAATAGACGGCAGAATGTATTGCTTTCAGGAAACCTCAGCAGTATCACCTCAGCTTTGTTTCCATTACATAGGCTGGACAAGATGTTTATTACGTATGTGCATCAACTGATAACAAGGCAATGTAAGTGTGGTAGTTCATAGCTATTCATTGAACTAGACAACTGACAACAAGGCAATGTAAGTGTGGTAGTTCGTAGCTATGCATTGTAATAGACAGCTGATAACCAGTCAGTGTAAGTATGGTAGTTTGTAGCTATGCATTGTAATAGACAACTGATAACCAGGCAGTGTAAGTGTGGTAGTTTGTAGCTATGCATTGTAATAGAGTGAAAGTTGTCTTGCTTCTGACGAGCCTTCAATAGAGGAGATTTTGAGTGAGACAGACATGATTATCCTGTCTGCATGAATGATTTATGTTGAAAGTGGACTGCGGACAGAATTGTAGATACAGAAATGACAAACCATTAATGAGAAACACCTGGCTCTGTTTCTATATTTAGGCGTTGTTTAATTTTGTTACCAAATGCAATATTGTCTGTGATTGAGATCACTCTCTCTTACTCTATCATTTAATTGGTCATTACAGGTCATATTCTTTATTTTAACACTAATGGGATTACCTAGAATTATGATCCTCAGATAGTCCCCCCCAACCATCAACTCGTTTCTGGGGGTGTGTGGGGGGGTGGGGTGGGGGGGTGGGGTGTGTGTGTGGGGAGAGGGGGGGATTGCATTGATTTTTACGAACTATTATATGTCAAATAATGGAGTTACAAAGATATTTGTAACTGTGTTTTCTCTGGAGCTTATTTGGTTTCCTGGTGTGCTCATTTGGACTATTCTGATGAGACAACATTGGATAATTGGATGAGAAAAGACATTTTATTTCAGGTAGTCAAGAAACGACATGCACATGTATTGGTCATAAAGTTTAGAATGATTCTATATACCCTTAGGTGCTTAGGGTCTTGTTAATTACATTAAAATGATCTAAGCTTGTATTTTAATGTGTACTTAATGTCTTCCTGCAGAAGATACAGCACATGTATTACTGTGGGATGGATGGCTTCATTTCCTGTCATTGAGTATTTGACTAGGTCTGTGCAGGTAATTGTGACCTGTTGCTACTAAGATTGTAGGTTGGTTCGTTGTAATTCCTGCTATAGAATGCACTGTTCAAGTCATTTGTAAAAAAAATCACGGAGCTGGAGGTATTTCCTGTTGTGGGTTGAACTGTTTTTCTGTCACTTTAAAATCACAACTTGTAGGTCACTTTGACATATTTTCCAGATTTCCTTTTTCCTGCAACTTATGTGGTAGATGATGGATTTCAGGGTAACAAACAAAAGTTCTAAGCTGTTCCTTGCTACAATGTCTTATATTTCACAGGGACCAAGTCACTGTCACCAGTTGTCAGACCCTAGGTCATGGACACAAAATATGTCTTGATTGAGTGGTCTGATGACTTTTACTTCACAGTCAAAACAGAATCTCTTTGCAGATGATTACTTGCCTAAAACTGTCCTTGATAATGTATACTTTTGGTCTGTTATGATTATTTTTTATGATTTTTTTTGGTAAGCATTATGCACTAATATCTCAAAGTGATATTACCAGATAGCCCAAATAAGTGTGTATATAAGAGGTCAAGCCATTATGACCATGGCGACCCTTCATTGATTAAGTGATTTCCTCCCCGTCTTCTTTATAATCTTTTTGATAATCAATACAACTGTGGATTTGCTGAAAATGTGATGTGTGGTTGTAAAGACTTGATTGCTAATAGAAAAGAATCATATTTCACTTACAGTATAATTATGTCCCCCAAATAGGCGGGGGGACATATAGTGTTTGCTCCGTTTTTTATTATTATTATTTTCATTATTATTCTTATTTTTTCCACTTTCTTCTGCCGGTGAGGTTTCCGACGCGTTTCTCAAAAACTATTACATGGAATTTAACAAAACTTTACACACATATTCATACATGTGAGGCGGAGTGCAGGCCACTTGAATTTTTCCAATCGGTCATCTGTGGTCAAAATTTGGTCAAATTTTAGATATTGTCTGATTTTCGTGAAAATTGGTATACATGTATTAGGTGGCACTAGGAGCAAAATGATGAAATCCATTTTTCATTCGGCCATCAATCGGTCATCTGAGCAGTCAGCTGTGGTCAAAATTCGGCCAAATTTTAGATATTGCCCGAATTTCGTGAAAATTGGTATATATGTATAAGGTGGCACTATAGGAGCAAAATGGCATAGTCCATGTTTGACATGACTGCAGGTCTGATTATTGTGATCATTTACTGCTGAAGGGGTCGTTTGGGGGACATTTGTAATGGTCCCCATTACAATTAGTACTTGTTTTCCATGGTCCCCAAATCTCAGCGATTGTGTCTCAGAATGTGCTCAAAGCAAATTCCCACATTTTCAATTTTTAATGAGGAAATAAAAAATTATTGTAAAGTTTACAGTGTTAAGTATGAATTAACTATCTCACCTTCTGAAAGGATAAGTGAGCTTATGTTGTGATGCGACGTCGGACGTCCAGTTTTAACCTTTCTTTTTAATTAATTTCTTCTCAATATCTAAAAGGATCAGGATATTGGGTAAGGAACATGCTGAGATGAAGGGCTACTAAATGTGTTTATATGAAAGACCTTGACTCATTTTCAAGGTTACAGGGGTCAAGTACAATAATAGATAAACATGGGACCTGTATGTTGAGATATAGAGCTACTCATTTTGTTCAAATGAATTACCTTAATCCATTTTCGATGATACAGTGGTTAAATTTGTGAAAACTTTAAAAAAACATCTTCTTATGAACCAATAGGCCTAGGGTCATGGTATTAGTCTAGTTTAAAGTTTGGAAATTGGCTTTCAATTTCACAGAAATTGATTGAACTGACAAAGCCTTTTTTTAAAGCTGTAGAACAGGTGAGCGATTCATTCCCATTGAGCTTTTTTTAAATGATGCAGTTGAAAAATATGTTATTTTCCTCTTTCTCCACCAATTTTTTATTCAGTGACAAATTGTAAATACTACAAAGGTTTTGTTTTATAATGGTTTGTTTTTTTCAGTTTTATTCATATTTGTTGTTATTTTCATGTTCCCATTTTTTTGCAGATCTGGAAACTCTCGAAAGTAGTGAAAAAAAGAATCCTTCAAAAATAATACCTTTTTCAAAAATTTTAATACACATGTATAAACTTCTACAACTGATAATGTTTCCAACTTCCAAGTACTGTTGCTAACATCTATCATACTTACACCTTCTTTCTTGTCATTTCAGAGACAAGATGCACGAATAATTGTTGGAGTATTCTACGAGAACATGGCTAGAAAAGTATTTTGTCAGGTAAGGGTATCAGTGCTGTATATTGATAGGTGATGTTTCTGTTTCATATTACTGATGTTCTAAGGACCATGAGATGTAGATGTAATGTTTAAGAAATAAGATTAGATTACTGAAAATTAGAAAGAAATACAAATTTGAAACACCATTGTTTGTCATCTAAATTGACTTTTGATCTATTTGATGAAATCAGACTGCCCTTTAGGTCTAGCTATTCTCACCTGAAAAATTCAGAAAAACAATTAAATTAATAGAAATACTATGATAATGTATTAAATAATGAATTGTTTGTGTATACAGAGCATTAGAATTTAGAGAAATAATTTTACACTCCCTGCAGTTAAGTGAGTAGGGCTGGTTATATAGTTATTCAATAAATGTCTTGATAAATGCCTTGTATAGAGTGTAACTTTCTGAACCATAAGATGTTTAAATCATCTGACCAAAACGGTCAGGATAACCTGTGGTCATGGCGTTTTCTTCATCATCTTGCACTCTCTGCCATCTGTCGTGCATAAACTTTCCATTCAAATGACTTCTACAAGTCTTAGTCTTCTTGGTCCAGTCTAACATTATAATTATCGTCGTGGTTAAATCACAATTAATTCAGTGTTCAGTATAAAATACATGGTCAGTGGATTGTACTGTTCTTGGATAAAAGTTAAATCAGACCCAGATATTATTAGGAACTGATGATGTCACTCAGGTTTATCGGACAAGTACGTCATACTTGATAAGTTGTAATCATGAATCAGCTGGGCTCTTTGTAATGTCTAGCTGTATGTATCTGTAAGGGTGTATCATAAAGGTCTACATGATGTGACATGCTGTGCATGTACTTTTATTTATTTATTTCTTGCTTAATGATAAAGTAAGTAAATAAAGTGTGTTTATTACCCTTAATATTTGAAATTATTGTTATTGCACGGGATGTCATTACACAGCAGTCATCATAAAATTCATATTACTGGTGTCAGGATACTCCTTACTACTGTAGTTACTATTATTTACTATTGAGGTTACTCAACTGTGACGATGCATTCATACACCTGTAATGCATGTGCTGTTCCCAGGATAAGTCAGAAAACTGGTTAGACCAGTGTAGGCCAGTGTATGTATTGGGTGTTTCTCAGGTAAGTTGAGGAACTTGTGCTGAGCATGCACGTGCCAGGTATGTACTGTATTGCCAGAGTACTATTGGGAGGGCTGTGTGCATACTTCCAGATGATGTTGGCTTTTGGGGAGCCTAGGACTGGTGTCTGTCCAGTATGACAATTTAATTAGCTGGGTGCTAATGGTAGTGTGCCTGTAAATAGTTTTTCTAAGCTGTGTGCTTCGAAGCTGTGTTTGTCATTGACTGTGTGTCCATGGGACTGTAAGCTGTACTTGGGCTGTGTGCCCTCTACTTTATCCAGGACTGTGTGTCCAAGCGGCTGTGTGCCATGTCTTTGTAAAATAGGACTCTCCTTGGGGCTGTGTGCCATATTTCTGTAGGAGTGTTCCAGATGAAGCTACCTTGGAGTTGATGTAACCTGGTAATGTGGTACTGAAAATACTTGGGCCTCCTTGATGAACAATGTGACCTTGTGTTGACCTTGCCCGGGTTGAGGAGACCATTTATACTGTGACCTCTATAAACGGAAGAGGATGGAGTTCCAAGTGTAAACCGGATTATGAACTGTGTTTAGGTTCCGTGTATAGGTATAGTTTAGCATATCTGAGAATAGGGGCTTAAGGGTTTTGGGAGCTAAGGTATGAGAGGTAGTGACGTGTGCGACGTGGATATTAGTGTTTTCTGTAAATGTGTTAATTTGTTTGGTTTGTAAATAAATGTGGATATTGTTGGCACATCTTAGTTGGTTGCTGGTTTTTTACCAATTTGGACATCCTTACATTACCATACCTCGTGACAACTGATACTTTATACTTTATCCATATCTTACTTATACTTTATGTCTATATCTTACTGATACTTTATACTTTATCCATATCTTACTGATACTTTATACTTTATGTCCATATCTTACTGATACTTTATGTCCATATCTTACTGATACTTTATACTTTTATGTCCATATCTTACTGATACTTTATACTTTATGTCCATATCTTACTGATACTTTATACTTTTATGTCCATATCTTACTGATACTTTATACTTTTACTGGTACTTTATCCATATCTTACTGATACTTTATCCATATCTTACTGATACTTTATCCATATATACTTTATACTTTACTTTATACTTTATGTCTATATCTTACTGATACTATACTTTTATGTCTATATCTTACTGATACTTTATCCATATCTGTCCATATCTTACTGATACTTTATCCATACTTTATACTTTATGTCCATATCTTCTTACTTTGATACTTTATACTTTACTCTTATATCTTACTTTTATGATACTTTATACTTTTATGTCTTTATATCTTACTGATACTTTATACTTTATGTCTCCATATCTTACTGATACTTTACTTTATGTCCATATCTTACTGATACTTTATACTTTTATGTCCATATCTTACTGATACTTTATACTTTTATGTCTATATCTTACTGATACTTTATGTCCATATCTTACTGATACATATCTTACTGATACTTTATACTTTTATGTCTATATCATATTACTGATACTTTATGTCCATACTTTGTACTTTATACTTTATGTCCATATCTTACTGATACTTTATACATATCTTACTGATACTTTATCCATATTACTGATACTTTATCCATATCTTACTGATACTTTATACTTTATGTCCATATCTTACTGATACTTTATGTCCATATCTTACTGATACTTTATGTCCATATCTTACTGATACTTTATGTCCATATCTTACTGATACTTTATGTCTATATCTTACTGATACTTTATACTTTTATGTCCATATCTTACTGATACTTTATACTTTATGTCCATATCTTACTGATACTTTATACTTTATGTCTATATCTTACTGATACTTTATCCATATCTTACTGATACTTTATATATTTATGATACCATATCTTACTGATACTTCCATATACTGATTTTATGTCTATATCTTACTGATACTTTATACTTTTTATACTTTATACTTTATGTCCATATCTTCTGTACTTTATACTGTCCATACTTTATACTTTATGTCCATATCTTACTATATCTTACTGTCATACTTATACTTTTATGTCTATATCTTACTGATACTTTATGTCCATATCTTACTGATACTTTATACTTTATGTCTATATCTTACTGATACTTTATACTACTTTATGTCTATATTTATGTCTATATCTTACTGATACTTTATACTTTATGTCATATCTTATATCTTACATATCTTACTGATACTTTATACTTTATGTCTATATCTTACTGGTACTTTATACTTTTATGTCCATATCTTACTGATACTTTATACTTTATGTCCATATCTTTACTGATACTTTATACTTTATGTCCATATCTGATACTTTATGTCCATACTTTATACTTTTATGTCCATATACTTTGATACTTTATGTCCATATCTTACTGATACTTTATACTTTATGTCCATATCTTACTGATACTTTTATTTATGTCCATATCTTACTGATACTTTATACTTTTATGTCCATATCTTACTTTTATGATACTTTATACTTTTATGTCCATATCTTACTGATACTTTATACTTTATGTCTATATCTTACTGATACTTTATGTCCATATCTTACTGATACTTTATACTTTATGTCCATATCTTACTGATACTTTTATACTTTATGTCCATATCTTATATCTTTTACTGATACTTTATACTTTATGTTTATATCTTACTGATACTTTATACTTTTATGTCCATATCTGATACTTTATACTTTATGTCCATACTTTATACTTTATGTCCATATCTTACTGATACTTTATACTTTATGTCCATATCTTACTGATACTTTATACTTTTATGTCCATATCTTACTGATACTTTATACTTTATGTCTATATCTTACTGATACTTTATACTTTATGTCTATATCTTACTGATACTTTATACTTTATGTCTATATCTTACTGATACTTTATACTTTTATGTCCATATCTTACTGGTACTTTATACTTTTATGTCCATATCTTACTGATACTTTATCCATATCTTACTGATACTTTATACTTTATGTCTATATCTTACTGATACTTTACACTTTTATGTCTATATCTTACCCCAGCTGTAGGTCTGTTCTAATTATATGCATCACTATTACACAAATAATCTGTTTTCAAGGCTTCCTTGTTGTAGTTACATTTTGAAACAGTCCTCTTGTCACAGACAGATCTATACATAGCTTTTACAGCTCATATATCTCTTATTTGTCAATATCAGATTTTCTGCTGAAGTGTCATCTGGTTTATTTTCTAAAAATGTTGGTTTTCTCACTTTAACTTCATTTTCAGTCAACCCAGTAATAAGATGAAATGACATCACCGCAGGGTAAAATCATACTCACCATGTACATCAGTCAGTGTTAACTTCCTTTCCTAAAAGTCAAAGCCAAAAGCATATGAAATATGAAGGTCAGAGAGTACATTTTTTAAACCTTTTTTTTTCAAATTATGTTTTGTGTAATTAGTTTGGCACAATGTTTTTGAAGAGTGTTTCTGTCAAATTTTGATGTTATATATAAAAAGACAACGTGCCAAAATGAATTTATGTTAAATATCTACTCATGCTGAAGGATTATTTTTCTCCTTTATTTGCTCAAAACAAATTAACCTTATTTCTTCTAATGCAGTTAAATTTAAAATGAATACATCAATATTATGATGAATTTATGCTTGTGATTGCCTCAAAGTTTTAAATCTAATTGCAAAATCAGCAATTAAACAATTGTGTCATTAGACCAAATGCATGAGCTTTGGCTTTGAACAGGCATACATCATACGTTCATCAATATTTTAAAGAATTAAAGAAGTAACCAAAAAGCCTGGAATCAAAACCTTTGTCATG